CCCCCCCCTACCCCCTTCATTCTTTTCCCTCACGATGGCGCAGAGACGTCGACTCGACCGCAGCGGCCTCTCTGCTCGCGTCTCTTTCTATACCCTGCGCGACTGCGCGCTGTACTGATGTTACGACGATTTAAACACAGGCTTCGGGATGGTAATTTCAGAGTTTTTTGATTCCGCTGCACCGGCCGGCAAGCCCCCCGTACTTTGGACGTCAGGCCCGTTTGTGTATGCCTTTGGTCCAGCTCTGAGCTCCAGAATGTGAACTCGATTCGAACAATTACTGTTAGTGGTACTGATGTCCGAAATTGGAAACTTTTTCAGAAATAAATTGGGAAAAATATATATGTTTCCAGAAAAAGGGAAAAGTTCAAACTTTTTAGGAAAACTTCAAATACTTTGAACGAAGAGTTCTTTTCAAATACCTTGTTTCAAAAATTGGACCTTCCAGACGCAACGACAAGGAGGAGGGCGATTGAGTTATTTGATTTTATTATTTCGGTGTTTGATCGTCCTCGGCGTTGCCCTGTACCCGCCCCGGCCCATCAGTAGCAATCTCCAAGTTTACTTGGCGAGGGTTTCGCTGTGTCCTCCGTGTTGCTGCTCGTGGCAGCGCGGGGCGGGCCGGGGCGGGGCGGGGCGGGGCTCGGTAAGCGCGTTGCACAAGGAACTTTGATGCCGAGAGAGGAACAGAGAGAGGGAGAGAGAGAGAGAGGAGAGCGCGGGCAGAGAGACGCGCGGAACGTGGCGGGGCGTGGCGGGGCGGGGCGAGGAGCAACTCAGTTCACTGCTCGAAAGTTTGTCACGAAAGAACGGCACCTCCAGCGGCCGCTGCCTCTGCCGCTCCCGCACCAGCAACACGACCACCACCGCCGCCGCCGCCTCCCCCAACCGCCTCTGCCCCTCCGCGCCCCCATCATCGGCACCGCTGTGGAGAAGACAAAGTCCGGACGACTCTGTTGTCAGCGACGCGACGGGGAGAGGGAAACGGCAGGGAAAAAAAAATCCCGGATGGACAGCAGGACGCTGGGCTATGGCGCGCGACGACTGCACTGCTGCTGCGGAGGGACGGCTGGTACAATACCGTAGAGAAAATTGATTAAAATATGAAAAAAAAACGAATCTTTACAAAAAATACACTGCTGTGAAGATAAAGCCGTTTGCTTGATAGAGAAAATAATTAAAATAAAAACTAAACGGTAGCCATAAGCAAAAAGTTCTTTCTCCCACGCAGTCTGTCTGTGTGCGAGGAAGCTTTTCATGGAATGTCGTTTAATTTTATTCGCTCGGAGAACTGCATACGTAGTACTGTACTTGACGGCTGGCCGCCGACAGTTCCTGGAGGCGGACGGGTCGGTCATGCAGTGCGGTGCAGCCCGGCCCCTGGCCCGGCCCCCTGGCGCTGCTCATGCACTATTTGCATCGAGCTGCCCGTGTCACGTACATACAGTACCTCCTGGCAGGCAGCCGCCCCACCCGGGCCCGGCCGACTCTGTATGCGTGTTTCTGCCATCTGGTCAGGGTTCTCTCCCTTCTCTCTCTCCTGCTCCTCCGCCTGTTCTCGCTCCGTCTGCCTGTTCGTTTTACCCCTCCGCGTCGACGCGTTTGTTTCATTTCCGAACACTTGCTTCGCTGATGAGGTTGGACGAGGTGGGGGGGCAGGGCATTGTGTATCTAGAGATGCGCGGCGGCCCGCGCCTCCTGCAGACTGCAGAGGTCCCCCTGGAAATTGAAAGCCTGGAATGGGCCTTTGTTTTGACGCGGGCGCCGCCGCGGTGGCCGCGGGCTGCGAGCGCAGCTGCGGCTCACAGCTGATGACTTGTGCAGCTGCAGCCGACATCGTCCGCCCGCGCCCTGCTCGCGCAGCAGTGAATCAATGGCGGGACCGAGAGTGCGAGCGAGAGGGAAAGAGAGAAAAGCCGCCCGCTGAGCTCTGAGGCCGGCCGGCAAGCGCGCACCGCGCGCGCGCGCGCCCCAAGTTTTAACTGTTACCAACTTTGTCCAACTTTCGGTACACACACATATTCAGCGGAAGCACCCCCCACCCCCACCCCTCGCCCTCTGCGCCGCGCCGAGGGAAGAACTTTCAACACTTCGATAATAAATTTGGCGAGAAGCGATATTAGATGGGCGGCGGGCGGGCAGGGCCCGCAGGGCCGCCGCGGGGACCGCCACTTCCGAGGTGAAGAGTTGCGCAGCTTTATAAAAGTGACTTTGGACGCCGAGTTGAGCGCGGCGCGGCGTGGAGGTGATGTTGAGTTGAACTGACCGACTGCTTGTTTGTTGCAGCCGGCTCCACCAACCGACCACTACCCGCTCGCCGACCCTGCCCTGCCGTCTCAGCCTGTCCTCCCTGCAGTAAGTACTTTGATAACATAGAATGATCAGAATATTTTTAGCAGACTTCTTACGTATACATCATAAATTACCCAAAGGGTGTTTGAAAATTTTCTTGACAAGTTAACGACAAATTTGTTATGTGCAAGAAATGTTTATTTTTCCCTGTCAACAAAATTCTTATTAGTAGAAGACAAAATGTGAAGGGGAGGAAGTTTACAATTTTTATAAACTGCTCGAAATCATGTTTAGCAGAAAATTTTCTTTGATTCTCTCTTTTTTAAAGAACGAAATTTCTCTCCTTTCTGAAACTTACTCCTTTAGCGGTGTGTATCCCGCGGTGTGTCCGTGCCGTGCCCACCCCCCACAGCTGACGCTCGCCGGCGCCGCGGGGCCAGGCAGGCCGGCCGGCCGGCGAGGGGCCGCCCAAGTTCTACGCCGCGGAAAAGTTTCCCCGCGGCACAATACGTGGCCGAGGGAGGGGGGAGAGTTCTTGTGGTCTAGTCGCCAAATCGCTCCTTTTTCGTTAAAGTTTTGTCCCCCCCAAACTCTTGCCGCTCTCCTCGTGCTCTATCCCTCCTCCCCCTTCCCGTCGTGAGGTCGTCGGTGATGACCCGGGGTCGGGGGTTGGAGAGAGGAGAGAGATGTAGTTGGAGGAGAGTATCCTCTCACTCTTCCCGCCAAAGAGCTGCATAGTTTTAATCCTTGGTGGTGTAGTTAACCTGCCGTCCGGACCCGGCCCTGTGCGAGGCACGGCGCGCAGCCCTGGCGCAGCCCCCAGCTCCCACGTCGGCCGGTTGCTGAAGTTGGCTTCGTACCGGTTGCCCTCTCCATCTCCATGCCTTGTCGCCGCCTCCTCCTACTATAAGTTTTGTTGCGGCCACCCTCTCCCTCCTCGCAGCAGCCGCCAAGGGACCAGCTACGTCGCGCCACGCCGCCCCTGCTGCTAAAACCTGGACCATTTTCTAGTTTGTCTCCGAAAAGTTGTCGGGTGGCGGGGGAGGCGCGGAAAGGTGCCTTTGCCGCGGGAACAAGTCAGTTTCCGTGTGTTTGAGTTTGCGGGGTGGGCCGCGCTTTACAGGGGAGTCCAGCCTGAAGCGGGCAGCTCTCCACCTAGCTCTTGCTTGTAACGTCTACCACCCGTGTAGCGCGGGTCGGCCTACCTAGCGGCGCGCGGCGCCCCATTGACCGCCGTGCGGGTAGGCCGCCGCCTGCCACCCGTGTAGCGCGGGTCGGCCTATCCTA